ACCTGTTTCTATTGCCACTTTATTTATAAATTTTCAATCATCAACTACAGCAGAATCAGTACATATATCTTATTAACCAAGTGCGAGGGCCGTACTGGGAGAATATCGGCCCAAGGTCTTGACAGTACGGACTGAGCGCAGCAAGGTCCTTACAAAAAAGACAGAGGGCCGATATTCTTCCAGTACAGTTTCGAGCAAGCTTGGCTAATAAGAGATTTATTACAGGACTGAGGTTCAAAGGGACACAAGTATGGTATCATTCGGGACCATTAGGGACAGTGCCCGGTCCAATACTGAGAGAATATTGACCGGCAGTGGAGCATTTTGATTGGTTGATTTTAGTTATTGGCCCTCTGACTTCCCGAGTTGTGTAATAAAGAACAATAATAAGCACCCCCCCCCCTGTGATAAAGGTCCCTTCTCCTTAGGAGAGGGGCCTCTTGAGGGGCCCTTCCTTTTAGTCAAAATTTTAAATAAGCACCCAGGCCCTTATTTGAAGAGGTACAGTAATTATGTTTGCCAAATCAATCTATTAAACATATTAATAATTTGATTGTCATTATCTATTGGTACATCTTGCAAATTTAAATGGTTTGTTTGTGTGTAGGTGGCAGATAATTTTGACAAAGACCTTGCGGATGGTCGAGATGTTCTTGATTACTCTTTCTTGGGGGCAGGTTTGTATATCCCACTTTTTTAATGCAAATGTTGGCTGAAAGTTAAATAGTTTTTTCTCATCAGAGAAAGGACATGGGAAAGGCTATAGGCTCCTATTCTATACTACTTTCACCCCCGAGGTCTCGATAGTAATACTCCTTGCTGTCTGCCATACAATTCTTAAGATGTTTGTTCTGAGAATTTAATATTTGTTTAATTTATAATCCCCTTATTGATATTTTCCAATTTTCTCATCACTTTCCTTCATCTTGATTTTGTATTGATATTGCATGAAGAAATTCTCATTTGGTCACTCATTGGATGTTCTACCTTGGACCTTCCCTCTGGTCAGGTCGTTGTGCTGACCTTCATAGTCACTGTGGGCCTGTCTATCTAACAGCTCTCTCTCTCTCTAGCAATGTCAAGCAAATCTGACGCCTTCTTTCTCTGAAATTAAAGCCATTTAGAGTGAAAAGTCCAATCTCTACTAGCTGCTTACTTTGCAGTTTCTGCCTTCTATTTTGAAACTTATTGAGACCTCTGTAATAGTATGAGTGAATTGTGACAAAGTGTGAAAGAAACCTTAAAAAACACTGGGGACATTTATCTGCTTTGAAGTGGCACTCTGACTAGGGGGAGTGAGATTTCTCCTAGTGGTCTCATGCTTCTGGAACTTGTGGAAGCTTTAGGGAGGCAGAGCTTCTATTTCATCTGGTAACTTTAGATTGACTTTTCTTAAGTTGTTTATATGGGCCCTACCTATTGTATCTAATCTAGATCATAAGTTGTACCATTTTCTCCCTCCCAAGAACTATTGTCATCATAACTTTAGAAGACAACGCCACTTTGCCAATCCTGTCATGTGTACCAAATGTTTTTCTAGCACATTTTTGCCATCTATGTGCAGGCGTTAGCAGTTTTTGTTGTATGAATTTTTACGAATTTTTATGAATTAGTATTCTAAGCTTAATTTTGTAGGTTTTAGTACTTTTTCATATAATTATAAGCTTTGTATTAATGGAATTTGTAAATTCATGCAATTCAGCCTTAGATGGCTGCCATATGGATTCAATTAAAGCTCTACTTTACTTTACCTTTACCCTTCTTGTTTGGTTGCCAAAGAGAGAAGCGGTGGAGGGGGGAGGGAGGATTAGGGTTAACCCTAATGCTATCCTCAGGTTTACAAGTTGTCTTTAACATTTCTCGTTTGTTTTCAGCTTCATTGGCTTTTGTCGTCCGAGTGCTTGTATTGGTCGCTCTAAAGCTTGTGGTGAACAACTTTGGAAAAGGACTGAAAGAGACTGGTAAGTATGTAACATGAGACCTGATTTTTTGTGGTGAAGTCTGAACCTTTTTCAGGCTTGGCTACTTGTTATGTTTAATACCAACAAGAACCTGCTTGCATAGTCTATAAGTGGGAGAGGTAGTGACTTATAATGTCTGTACACTGGACTCTGGGTTGAGATGTTTATGTTAAAGACCAGGCTGCATCAAAGCTTTTTGCTGTCATGATGCCTCTCTCTCCACCCAGGAGTTTAAATGGGTATCTTGCTGTAAAAAATCCAACAGTGAAATGAGTAATGAGAATCCAAACTCTGTAGAAAATAAGTAATTTAAATTATAACAATATTCAGTATGAATAAAACTCCTTACATTTTGTAACAATTCCAAACTGAGGGAATAAAATAAACATGAATGAAAACTAAAAAACAATAACCAAACTAAACTCTCTGTAGAAAAACAACTCAGAGAAAATGTCCACAACAGTTTCCATTGTCATGGCCAAAGCCCCCTGATGTGATAGGCTAATTTACAATAAATCATGTGCACCATGCGTGAAAACTAAAACAACATGGAGTGGGGAGGGGAAGGGGAAAGTGAAATTGAAATTCACAAAATGAAAGAGATTTTCTATACTTGCAATGTACTGGCAGCCCTCTAAGGGGGGATTAATAACACTCCATGTCTCTTTATGCTAAGGAAACCAGGATAAGCTTTAGTTGGGTGGGCCAAAAGAATTACTTAATATCAATTTTTTTTTTATTTGATTTAGTGTTTAACCTGCCAGTGACAGGAGGTGAGCCTCCAATGTTTCCAATGAAATGAAAGACAGCAAAGTGATGTGGAATAGTTTTCTGTGGGCCATTGGGATGAGAACTTGCGATAAATAATTGTTGCAAAGTGACGACTAGAACATTACAGATCTAGCTTACAAGCCCATAGAATATAATTTAAATTTTACCTTCTAGAAGCCTGAGCTCTTAAGGTATTGAATAAATACTTAGCTGGTCAACTTCAGATGCTTCTCAGTTAGTTCAGCTCTCAGCATGTAAAGCTGTGTAAGGTATATTATTACACGACTCGGGCAGTCAGAGGGCCAATAACTAAAATCAACCAATCAAAATGCTTTATTGCCGGTCAATATTCTCTCAGTATTGGACTGGGCACTGTCCCGAATGCTCCCGAATGATTCCGCAGTTGTGTCCCTTTGAACTTCAGTCGTATAATAAATCTCTTATTAATCAAGCTTGCTGGGGACGGCACTGGAAGAATATCAGCCCTCAGTCTTTTTTGTATGGAACTCGCTGCGCTCCGTCCATACTGTCAAGACCTCGGGCCGATATTCTCCCAGTACGGCCCTCGCGCTTGGTTAATAAGATATATATATTTCTAAATTTATCATTCAGTATCTGTTATATGGTGATTAATTATTTTAAGCAGGGGTAACATTCATTAAAGAGACTCAATCCTAGAAATACAGAAAGCCAATTGCTTATGTTCTGTGGAGAGGATTCCTTGTCAGGTTTTCTCTATAATTCTGTTCATATTGGGCTTCTTTATGGATAATGCCTTAATTTTTTTTCTTGAATAATGATCAGTTTTATTTGAGCTTTGAAAAATCTGAACAACTCCTTTTGGTTTTATGACTAATTTTTTTTATAGATACAAAAGATGTGTAAAATATATTTCCAGAAATCATAAACATTTTGTTCAAATCACATTTGTTTTGTTTTTGTTTTATAGGTCAATAAATGTAGATTTAGATATTTTGTTACGTTATTTACAGTTGATTTTAAATTCATACAAAAGTGTTTTGATGATCAGGTGATATGCATTAGCAAATAATGCTTCACAGATGTTAGAGGAAATGTTAAGATGCCATAGTTAACTAAGTTCTTAAAAGCTATATTTATAGTTGGGTTAGACCTGTAGAATTAATGAAATATGTTCTGATGACTCTCATCAGACAATATAGCATTGTATTTAACTATGTATTTCAAATTGAGTAAGTCCTGCCAATTTTTGGCATGGTGATAGATTTATTTAGCCAGTGTGTTTTCAAGTAAAATTAATTGTGCTATAAGTAAGTTACTGAGAAAAATTGTTTGATTTTGATAAGAATGTTTCCATGTGAGTGTGTTTATTATTTCAGAGTAATGTTCATTTTTTTTTTAAATAAACACTGTTAGAGGTGATCATCTCTTATATTTTCAAACTTTTTTTTATTAAGAGGCAGGATATTTTTTTTTATCTCATCCATCCCCTTTTAAAAAACTTAGCAGGCCTTGTTCCCCTTACCCTCCCCCCCCTCCCCCCTGTGAAACAAATCTTGAGTACCCAATCTTTGTTGGTAATTTACCTCCCACAACTTCTGTTTTCATCTTCAATTCTTCCCTCCCCCACCCCCTCCAATCGCCAATCTGTGCTGATGACTAATGAAAGGCTCGAGAGTTTTCGTAACATCGCGTGACTACCCCAACACCGGTTACCAAACTCAGGAGAAATTTAGTGGCGTGACGGGCGTAAGTTTTGCGGGGTCTGGGTGCGAAACAGCGGGGACTTTGAATTTTTCTGGTTGACTTTGTGGGGCACTCAACCGTTAAAAACGATTTTGTCGAAGAAGAGAACCCAATGGCTACTCAGAACTGTGCTCATACTTTTGGAGTATTGTGGCAGCGAGCTAAGGAACTACTGAAGAGGGAGGATTATGATCGACTTAAAACTGCGATTAAAACTTTCTCCAAGACACGATCGGTGGAGGGATTGTGTTCGGATCTTCTAGAGATTGTCAATTCACGTTCAAAAGTTGATATTCTTGTAGAAGTCAGGCGATGTCTTCCAGAAAATCTGCGGAATAAGTTTACCCGACAATTCAATGAGCTACTTGAAGCCGAAGTCAAACGAGAAGGAGAAGACTTTGGAAAAAAGAGGAAGGTAGTAATCAAGGAAGGAGAAAACACTATGCCAAATTTTCAAGGAAGCCCCGCCAAGAAGACCAGGCCAGTAAAGGAAAAGCCACGGAGATCTAAAGAAGAGAAAATAATCTCCATAGGGCCTGTTTGCTCAAAAGAATCTACTAGTTTGGGTATTGAAGCTCAAAAAGCTGCCTTGACCGATGCTGTTGACTCTGACCAAGAAAGAAAAATTATCGTTCTTGAAAGGAGATCCTTGAATCATGGATTTGGTTTTAAGATTCAAGGTGGAACGTGTCATCGCCCTTCCATAACCGTAGCTCAAGTGACAAAACATTCGCTTGCTGATAAGCAAGGATTGAAAACAGGCGATAAGATTATTCGAGTTAATAACCAGCGCTGTGGAAAAAGAAATCTGGTTGACATAACCCAAATTATTGTAAATTTAATCAAAGCATCAAAGACGCTTCATATGAGGATCATACCTGCTGGAGATGTCTCCGATAAAGAATGTAAAGTTCGCGATAAGCCTGAACCAGCTGCTAGAGTAGTGGAAAAAAAATTGTCAACAGTCTCTGTTCATGCCGATGAAGATGGTTGGTTAGGCTGTTGTATAAGGGGGTACGTATGCAATCTGGTTCTTAAAATGATAACGATGATGTCGAGAATAATGACAACGGCGAGGATAAGGCTTGTTAAGACGTACAAACTGAACTTTACAAATTACCCAGGTGTACCTCACATAATTTCAATTTGATAGGGGTCGAAATGATTTCCATGGATGAGGCAATATAATGTCTGGCATTTTTACCTAAATTGAGTTAAAAAAACAAATTGACAGGTCTTTCTCCATCAATCTTTCTCTTTAAATTCAAATCTAATGATCTATTGCCATTGACTGCTTTAGACCATTTAGAAAGGGGTGGCTAGAGATGTGCTCACAGCATGGAAGAATGGGTGCTGGTCTGCAGAGGAAAGAAAAAGTGGTTGCAGTGCAAAACTTTTGTTTTATCCCATTGTTCATTAGTTTTGTAATACATCTGGGAAGCCTTCCCACCCAGCCAATAGAATATGGCAACTGCACACAGGATCTTTTCTTGAAGTAGATTCACTTTTCATACTAGAATTATCACAATTGACTCAGTAAATGGTAAATAACATTTACAGTTGTATGTGGCAGTACAGTACTGTGATCATGCATGTGTGAGGTCAACCTCGTTCCCAGATTCTCTCATCTTCCCGCCCCCTGGAGCAGGAAGATGAGAGACCCTGGGAACGAGGTTGATGTGAGGTTTGGTCTTACAATTTTTACAAGTGGTGCACATGGCTTAAATTGGCTCAGTCTGTACACATGAGATCACACTGAGTTCTGCTTTACCCTGGAGAATGGTCTCAGGCATTCTTAACTAATAAAGCCTTTCTGTTTCTTAGTGGCACCGATTATGGCTGTGATGTACTTGTCATCTCGGTTGATAACCATTCTCCTGCACAAAGGGCTGGGTTAAAGACAGGAGATGTGATAGTCAAGGTGAGGTTTTTCTTACTGTTTTGGTGCCAACTTCTGGGAACTGAAACAGAGTATGTTTCATTGGTAGTTTTTCCTTGCTGCTATTCATGTCCTTCTAAAGTAGCTTTGAGTAAATTTGATGGTAGAGATCATTTTGATTTTAGAGCATTTTAATACCCTCTATGAGATTAGATAACAAATTTCATCACTTGTTCGGCAACTAATGTATTTGATAGTAGAAGAAGAAGCTTCTTGTAAATCATTTCCAAGAGATTACGGGTTGAAAGTCGTAGATTATCATTTAAATGTTACAGCTGGAAGACACCCATCAGTGGTTATCGAGAAAAACAAATTTTTAATCTGTATGTTGATTAGAGTTGCTGTACTGTCTGTCTATCCTAGGTGAAAGGAATCAGGACAAAGGACTTGACACATGTTCAAGTGGTAAGACTTGTTATTTTGTCTGGTCCTTGCATCACATTTTCTGTGAGGTCAGGTTATAAACAAAAGAAGAGCCTCTGGCCCGAGCTTGTTCGAGTGGACGCTACCCCACTGCAAACCCAGTGTGGTGGGCACCATAACATTACTCCCCCAGGGAGCCCAACCTCTAGAGGGCTTCATCCTTCAGGTTATCAAAGGAAACCCTGTGGTGCAGTAGTTGACTCACCCTCTCAACTTCCTTTGGATGTCATGAATCTAAATTGTATGCCACCCCCACCCTACACTCCTGAGGTGCCACTGAGGCACAGGGTGTTAGCAAGAGGGGAGGAGGGGGAAGAAGAAATCGATGGGCAGGTACAACATGGTTTCATACAAGAGCCACAGGTAACCCAGGATCAACAGGTAACCCAGGACCAATGTTTACCACTGGATATTAATCATCAGCAAGAAAAATCAGGGGTGTTTCAACTACAAATACAAAACACTTTTATTGAACAAGACAAAGTGAATAACAGAAATGAAACAGGCTTAAATGGAAATAAAGATAATATACCTCAAGAGAGTAGGGTTGTAGAAAAGGATTGTGTACCTGGCCCTGCAATTCTCTTTCCGGAAGAAATTGTAATGTCATCGATGGAGAAAGAAGCTTTAATTGATGACTCTGAAAGAGAAATGTCAACAATGCTGGAGCTCCCACCTTCACTACCACCATTGCCGCCACTTGGGAGTGACAACAGGTTTCCTCGTGCTAGCCAATCACCAGTCCCAGGTAATGGAAGAGAATCCTTTCTCAGCCAGATAAGACAGTTTGATGAAACAATTTTGAAGAAACCCTTTGTAAATTCTGAGGTTATCGACTATAATCAGTTTCAAAGGATTTCCAATAAAAGTGATCCTGAAGCAGATGACCGGATACAAATCACAAAGGATGAAAAGAACAGTTCACAGGGTAATGGTGTACAAGAAAAAGGAGACCCCATGGACTTACTATCTGTGCTTCGTCAAGCAATGAAACACAGAGCCAAAGTACTACATGATACTTTGACAGATGAAGGCAGGGGTAGTGATGATAATGATGATGATGAAAACTAAAATTGATGACAGTGATAATGAGTGGGAACTGTAAATTGCCAAAGTACCATGTACATGTGTTACGTTAACAGATGAAGACATTGGTATTGATGATAATATGATAATTAATAATGACTTTGATGACAATGATAATGAGAGTGAGTGGGAACTGTACAAAGCCATTTTGATTTCTCATGTTTTCCCTGAATAATAAAGCTGGTAGCTTTGAAATGGAGGTTTTGTGGTATCTTGTTTGTAGCCAAATTGTCGCTGATGTTTATTGTACACGCAGAATCATTATGTTTTGAAAAGAAGGAAATAGAACACACTAAGTAACAAGTGATATTTAACGTTTAATGATTCAATAAATGGCATTTTAATACAAGAAATTCACAGCTGCCGCAGCTGTACTTACTTTTAAAATGCATGGTAGTTCTAAATGTCTTTGTTATTAAAATTAATGCATGCCATCATTATGGCACATCACACAAAAAAATATAAAAGTCTCAGTGATTATATGGTGCATATTTCTAAATGTATTTTTAACTCGTTATACATTTTAGAACTAGTAACATGTGATAGATATACATTTAGTTAATATTAATACAAGATAACTCATTAAACAGGTCCTGATTGAAGGGTGATTAACGAGACCTAAGTATCCACCTTTCCAACAACTGAGCTTAGATGTTTTTGATACAGGAACAACAGCTATGCTTAATTTCTCCACTCCTTCAAATAATTTCTCCACGTACAAATAACTTTCATTTACATTTTCCAATTAATAATTTCCATTGTAGTTTACTTTGTAAATAAGGAAACTGTTCCCTAGAAGTATTATTGGAATGATTGTGTTATTTTAAAAAAAAAAAAAAAAATAGCCCATTAGAATCAGGCATGAGAGTGCAAAGCTGCTAACAGCAGTAGTAATTGATATGTATTCTTCCACTTGAAAGTACCTTGATGTCTAAATATAAACATGGATCATAATCACGTAATCATAGAATGTGTCAATAATAATTTCTCAAAATAGAAATGTAATGTATTTTGAACTTGTATTTGCATGGAGGTGTTTTCCATCTTCCATCCAAACAAACAATTTCAGTTCTTCCAGACTGTTTCGAGTTTAATTTGGGTGGTAATAAAATCTATTTACAATAATGTACAGGCATATTCAAACATATTCTAAAAATTAAAAAATATAAATCAGTCAAAAACATCCCCATTACCTTGGAAATGGTTGGCAATGTGGGAGCTTCTTGTGAATGATACTCGGTTTCATGGGTGATCTCATCTTTCGAATCCTTTGTCAACAAAAGTAAAATATTTTTAGCCATTAAAATAATTGAAGATGTTCTGGCCTCGAGTATAGTGTTACTTTTTTTGTTTAAAAATGCATGTAGCAGTCACATTGAATTGTTCAGTGAGTTATTTAGTTCCTTTCTAAAGGAAAAACAATCACAGAAAACATACATTTGATGTTTAGTATTACCAATTACTTAAAAGCACCACTCACAGAATAGATACATTTGATGTTTATGTAGTTATATTTAATTTGTTCAATTATTGTCTGGAGCAGACTTATTCCTTCTTGTTATGCTCTTCTAAACACAAGATTCTCTTTCATGTGCTTGTTGGAATGCTTTAAAGCATTTTGAGCAATATTTACTTTCTACCCAGACTTGTAATAACTCAAGGATATCATGGCGTTCCATGTCATCAAGAATGTTCATTATTTTTTCAACAGTGGCATTCTTTCCCTTTCTTTCACTCCAAACACGCAGGAGACAATCAGTTGGTTGATTGTTGGGGGCAAAAATCTCATTTCTTGAAAACCCAAGTTTCTCACCAAAAATGCGATGGTCATTACAAGAGGGAGATTCTATATCCATTCTTTGACAAACTGTATGGTAAATTTTCACTGGAATGTCCTGAATAGTTTGTTTCTGCTTGTCTGTCTTGGAAATCTCCACACATTTCTGGCAAATAGGAGTACTTTGAGCTTTGTCTGGCACTTTCACAGTAGGTGCAGAGGGCCGTCTGTCTGCTTCACTGTATCCACTCCGGCAATCAGGAGGCATTTGTTGAGTCAAGCAATTGACCAGCCTCTCATGGTCAGGGGAAACTTCATGCTTGGCATCATTTACAGTCTTGCTTGCACCTTTGACCTGCTGGCACAAATTAACAGTCTGTACTCCATCTGCCAGAGAGCTGTTTGAAAAAGAAATCTGTGCTTCGCTTTGGGATATGGTCAGGATTCCTTTCTCTTTCTCCCCTGGCCATGTGTACCTTTCTCCTGAAGAAGGCAAGTGTTTTTCTTGCAGCAGGCCTGTGGGTTCTTCAATGGATAATAGTACAGAACGTTGAGCTTTCTGGAGCATGGTTTTCATCCCTTCAAAAGAGAGCCCCTTTACTGGATGCTTGTTGACAGCTGTTATCTTGCATCCTGGAGTAAGATATGGACACTTGGCTGCTGGTGTTTCTCCAGCTGCAATTTGCTTTATTATTGGACATGGCTGTTCTAGTTGATTCTGTGTAAAGAAGTTGTGTACATTTGCTATAAGTAAATATGATACAGGAAAAGTAAAGTTAGAGGGAATGGGGAAATGCAGCTTGGTACATGAAGCCAGACCCCTTCAAGGGTTAATTCCACCATTACTAATAACACCTCCTTTACAGCTCCCCCCTTCTCCCAGTGAATTCTTCAATTCTCTTTCTCTGTGTTGAAATGTGTTGGAGCAGTGTTTTGCATTGTGTCAAAATGATAGTGTGGAGATATATTTCATCTGGCATTTTAAAACAGTTTGCTAAATTGGGTATTTAATTAAAGTCGCTGATATCATTAGAAGCGGAACTGATGCATGCATATATTATTATAAAACAAAAATGAATTGACAATTATGATGATGATGATGATGGTGATATGGATGAAAGAAACACTGGAAAAGCAGGAGAAAGGGAGTATTGGTATAGGATGATAGAAAAATGAAAGGAATAAGATGTAGGAAGTAGTAAAATTTGAAGAACTTGACAAAATGAGTTCACCATGAAATGAGATGTGCGTATGAGGGGTCTGTACTGATAGACAAATAAAATACATTGTGCATATAATTTGAAAGTAAAAATTGTGGGTTTACTTACCTTGGCAAATACAAACTTAAAACCAAGTGGTTCTTTTAAATGTTTCTTCTGTAACTCAGCTTGAAGTGGTCTCCAGTCTAAATTTGCTGGTGAGTCAATTGCAAGACTGGTAAGGTAATCTTAAAAAGAAAAAGAGAACACCATATTATTACATGTCAAAGTAATAACTAGGATAACAATAGACTGCCATTCCTTAGCAACCACATGTTTACAACAGTAAAGAGATTTGTGGATGAAATACAAGTGGATAACTGATCCTTGTTGGTCAGCTGTAATTAAAGAAACTACTGGAAAGAAGTTCAGGCTTCCAAACAAGGAATTTGGACCAGTGTCAGACTGTGCTCCCAGATATTTTTTCAATTGAGTGAAAGTCCATTTTTCTGCTAATAAGTTCCCAATGTTTTATTCTGTCTTAACCCAAATGGACAGTTTGGTGAACTTAATCTATTTTTCTAGGTCAAAGGAAAGAGGAAATGGGTTTAAAGCTCAAAAGTTTAGGAAACGATATATTTCCTTGACAGTATATATATCTTATTATTAAAAACTAGATCATTGGATAACGCAATTCAAGACTTTTTATTGGCTTAGCCATTATGGTATATCAGCCAATATACCATAATCTACAAATATGGTAAGCGTACGTGTCAGCTTGAAATTAAAAGGGAGCTAAGAATTTAATAAAATTTAATAATTGAATTTAATGTTTTTAATAAAACAGTTATTCCACTCATGCTTGTTGGATATGAGATGATTATAGCCAACTCGGCGCAATGCACCTTGTTGGCTATCTATCATCTCAAATCCAACGCGCGCTCGTGGAATAATTGTTAATTAACCAAGTGTGAGGGCCGTACTGGGAGAATATCGGCCCAAGGTCTTGACAGTATGGACTGAGCGTAGCGAGGTCCGTACAAAAAAGACTGAAGGCCACTATTCTTCCAGTATGGTCCCGAGCAAGCTTGGTTAATAAGAGATTTATTATACGACTGAAGTTCAAAGGGGCACAAGTGCGGTATCATTCCGGACCATTCAGGACAGTGCCCGGTCCAATTCTGAGAGAATATTGACCAGCAATAGTGCATTTTGATTGGTTGATTTTAGTTATTGGCCCTCTGACTCCCCGAGTCGTGTAATGATTAATTATATTCATTTGACACTTTTTTATTTTCCAAAGTGGAACATACCATTCTGTCTCCATTGTCTCCGTTGAATTATTAGTTTTATCTGCTTTTGTAGGTTAAGTTGGTGGACAATTTGTTGTAGTCCTTCATAGGTCTCATTCTCAAGTTTACGTTCTTTGATGGAAATGATGATGTCTCCCCGTTGCAATCCTTTGCGGCCTATTTTTGGTAGCTTGATGTTGTCCACCAATGCATATGTTTTTTTACTATCCTGCAAGTCCTGAAAGATATTCAACCTCTTTGCTATAGAGACTAAATTTGGGTGTGTGAGTGCATGCGTATGCATATGTGGGGGGGGGGATATCTTGTCACTTGCATAATTTCCTGTTTTACTGACCATAACTCCTTTCCATTAAGCAGGTTAATGTGGAAGGAAGAAAAACTGCTGCCTCTGATGGACTTATGCATGTTGTTGAGGGAGAGAGGTAGTGTAATTAGGTTAATTTATATAATAATTAAATATGGATATGTTGACAGGAGACAATGACTGGGCATCAGACCACTATCATCGTATAAGTTGGTAAGTCTACTTTAAGAAAATTTTTTGCAAGGATAGTCTAGTCTTTTTTAAGCTATGAGTTAAGCTTTTAAAATATTGGGGATAGGTTAGCTAGGGTGGATCCAGAGAAAAAAAACACAATAAGCCAAGGCCATAACATAGACCTAGATTACTAACTTTGAATACAAGAGTATTCAGAATCTCATAGAAAATGTGGAAATTTATAAGATAGCGGGAGCTTCTAGAGATGTGTGCAGTCAGTATGGCACTCTTGAATATCCCTACAAGCAATAAACAACTGCTTTGACTGCAAGAGAGGGGGGGAAACCTTCAGCTTAATATCATTACAGATGAAAAACAAAATATTGAAAAACACAGAGAAGAAGCTTGTCTCAGGCCCCTCTTAATTCAGCATGTACTAGACGCAGTACTTACAGGGTAAAAGATGTTGAGAGAAAATGCAGCTGAAAATGGAAGCTGCTTGACTTTGACTTTTATATCAATTGCAACTTGGTTGGGGTCCCAGAGATAAAATTCTTGTAGTTCTTGTGGCTTTCTTATGGTGACACTCAGAACACTTTGGCAATCTATCAACTT